AGAGAGAGAGAGAGAGAGAGAGAGAGAGTAATCAAGCTGAACTGAACCTGAACATTGCATGTGAGAACTTCTGGGCAGCCTGTGGGCCGGATAGATCCGGGCCACAAATTCCACAAAAAAGGAGAGAGAGATCGAGGGAGAGAGGTGGAGAGAGAGAGAGAGAGAGAGAGAGAGAGAGAGAGAGAGACAGAGAGAGAGAGAGAGAGGGGGGGGTCGCCTGTGGACCGCACAGAGAGTAAGGATTATAAGCTTTAATGTTGCAAAGTAAAGGATGTGGGCCGTCTAGGGACCGAATACATCCATCCCGCATCCAACTCGCTCAAATATTGACAAAGGAAAGAATGTGGGCCGCCTATGAACCGAATACATCCGGCCCACAAAATCCAACCCGCTCAACTATCGACAAAGGCAAATAACAACTCGCTACATATCTAAGGTCCTGCACATCTACGTATAGGAATCTTGAACCTAAGCACAACACATGGGCAAACTCACGGTATACGACTCCTCAACTACGGACAACACATCTGCGGTACTGCAGAACAAATGATGGACGCCAGCTTGCATCTAATAGTGGGTATGTGAATGTTCGAGAAATGAAAAGGCGGATCTTGTCCCCACGCCAAATAGGAAGCAAACATTAACATGAAAACCCCACAGCTGGATCCGTCAGCCTGCTTTGGCACTCCTTTGGCGATAACTTGAAATCTCATGTTATCATAGCCTTGGGGCAACCCTCTGTCCATTGGCTCTTCGTTCAGGTACTGCACGACCGCTCTATATGCAGTGGAAGCGAACGTCGCGTTGCATACTGCATTATAATAAGAATCGAGGAACTGTACGACGCCCTTTTCAAAGTTCACAAACAAAAGAGCCCAGTGTTCACTGTCCTTGTGAATGGGGACAAGTAGCACCTTGTGTTCGAAAAGATTGACATCTTTCATCCATCTTCTAACATCTTTACAACCTGAAGTAGCAATTTCGTGAAGAAGAAAGAAACAAAGTTATACACTTTCAAAGAAGATGTACGACAGTCCCGAACGACCAGTGCTAAGTAGAAGTTGATGACCTCGTCGTTCAGCTCACCGCCTCTGTCCAACAAGGTCTCTATGTCCCTCACCCTAACAACCATGTTCTCCGTCGGTAGGCGAGCCACAACCATAGAAGGGGTCAGGCGACAGTGTACAATGTTGTCCAACAACTTCAACAACTCTCCCTCACTTCTTCCGATGCTCGGTGCGCACATGTATGCTGCACAGACCAACCAAGCAACATGCATGACCATGAGAACGATACCCTAATTGTCAAAGCCGCCCAGTTTTTTGCTTTAGGTATTAAAAGCATTATAAATCTTAACCCCTCTACTCGTCGTTTTGTCAAAGTATGACTCAGGTTGAGAAACTGGAGAAACAGTAAACCTCTTGCAAACTCTCATATGGAACTTCTTAACTCTCTCAACACTCACATTCGCCGCTTTCACAATTTCCATATCCCTTGTGGACAGTTGTGGCACACTCGTCTTCGACTTCCTCCGTTCACCATATGAAGGAGACGACTGACCTTTACAACAGATGAAGAAACATAGTTATGAATAAAGGGTACGGCCGCGCTTAGCAAACCAAGGGGAAACGAGCAATTACCCTCATGTTCTCCATATCCCAAGCCGCTATCTATATGCAAAAGTTCACTCCACACGTTCTGCACTAGATAGGCCCAGAGTTAAGCAACGCAAGTCACTGCTTGCCAGCCACAGCGTCGTCTCCAGCATGTTCAACAACATCCTCGGCCTTGTGAGCTCCAATTCGTGCCACCTCCGCCTGTACGCATGTGGCTTTCAGACCCAACACTATACCTCCTCCTTTCATCTTCCCCGATGCAACAATGTGGTCCAGACTCGCGGAAAACTTGGACAAGTCCTTGATGTCAGCATCGACAATTCGAAGAACCTCCTCAGCAGAGGGATCAAGAGAGTCGACGCACGGCTTCTCGACATCCTCATTGAGAGACAGTTCTTCCAGAGCCATCCTACCTCCCGAAGCCTCACGTGGACTAGAATCGACCACAGTAAGGTCTTCGTCGTCATTGGAGAGCTTTCTGACGACGTCATCGCCCAACGAACGATGGATAACTCCCTTTTCCTGTTCCGACACGCTAACTTCTCTCTCCTCCGCGCACCGACCTAGCGCGAGTGTAGGTGAAGGGAGTTCTGAGGGCCGCATGACAAACGTCTGAGTTGACGGCAGCAAGGACGTTTCCAGCCGGAAGCAGTGCTGTATCCATTCCCGAATACAGCTGCGAGAGAAAGTCGTCCTCCGTATCGCCGCATCTCACCTCAGTGGCACCCCTACATCTCACTTCAGTGGCAGGCTATGTGTCCGAAATTGGATTCAACGGGGGTTTTGAGTTGAATGGTTCAACTCCCATTCCACTCCCGTTGCAACTCCGCGTTAAACCGAGTTGAACGTGGTACAACTCGGCCCGCAGATTTTTTTTTTGCAGGTAAAACACATATGGAAAAAAAATCAAAACATATGGGGGTGTAGATTTGTTTGCTCTCTACATCCCCATATTTTTATTTTTATTTTTTGAGCATTAAAATTATTTATAAAAAATCAAAAACAAAACTAGACTCAAAACAGATGGATTTTCTTTTTTTTTTTTTTTTGATTGATTGATTGATTGATTGATTGATTGATTGATTGATTGATTGATTGATTGGTTGGTTGATTGATTGATTGGTGGGGGATGGGTCACCCCTCCCACCCCCACCGAATCAGACACACACACACACACACACACA